ATGATTTTTATCATAGTTTCTAAATGATTTAATTTTAGTTTCTACAGAGTATTTTTATGTCCAATATAGCATATTTCAGATTGAACTTTAAATTATGTGAGACCTTATAAGATATAAGATTATTTGTTTTCTTTTTGGGATGGATGGATATTAAGAAAAATATATTGAGTGTATCAGTTGCCAAGAAAGTATAATCTAGTATCTTCATATTTTAAATATAATTTAATTGGGTAGAGATTATTTAAACATGCATACTACATGTGTTCTAAAGTGAGCAATCTATCCATTTTCTATAAATCCATATGGAAATAAGGTGGTGGTGGTGGTTTTTTAAAGAAGCAAAATAACTTTTGTGTGACATTTGCCTAATGTCTTTCTAAATTCTGGTTACTTTTTTTTTTCTTGATTTTTTGTTAAGCATATCTTTAGTATGTTTTTATATGTTAAAGTCTGTTGTGGTTCAGTCATTTCCAATTTTTCATGACCCTAATTAGCTTTTCTTGGCAAAGATACTTGGAGTGATTTGCCATTTCCTTCTCCAGATCATTTTACAATGAGAAAACTGAAGCAAATAGGGTTAAATGACTTCCCCGGGGTCACACAGATAGTGTCTGAGGCCTTAATGGAACTCAGGTCTTCCGATTCCAAGCCACCACTCTTTCCACTGAGCCACCTAGCTGCCCCTTACAGTTTAGTAATGTTTTCTAAATACTCAAGCCTGTGGAGGTGGAAGGTGGGTGCGTATATGATTTCATATCTTGTAATTGCAAGAAAAAGGATGTTGAATTATTTATTATAAAACATGACATATTGCTCTGTAAATTTAGATTATAACTTGTTAGTGTTTTAACCATTAATTCATGTAGCCTTATGGTTACATCTATCATCTTTGGTTAGGTAAGAAATAATTCCTTTTTTTTCCCTTTTTGTTACTCTTGCTACCAGTTTTATTCTATGAGATATCAGATAAGGTTAGGAGAAGAAATTTCTTCTGTAGCAAGCACTAACATGGGTTTCTGAAGACATGGACTCATCTGTATTTCCATCCGTGTATATAAATGATGATGGGATCCTGGGTGACTCACATAATCTTTGTGCCTCAGTTTTCCCTGTTTATAGAATATAAAGACTTGCCAATTCTCATGGAAAGGTGGTTTTAAAAATGTATTTATGTAACACCTTTCTCTATAGAACTCAAAAGAGCAATTATGGATATTAGTTGCCTAAAGCATGTTCACTTGATATCTGGGACATAGAGGGCAAGGTGGTATTATACCCACTCTTCAGGTAAGACAGACCTAAGGTTACATAGTGTTGGAACCAGGAAGAGGAATCAATTACAATCCTTTCTGTGTGTGTGTGTGTGTGTGTGTGTGTGTGTTTTAAGTGTGTGTATGTATGTGTGTGTTTAGACCATCATATATTGTTTAAATGTCTTGAATTCATCAGAAACACACACTAGATAAATACAAAGTAATATAAGCTTGCCAGTTTGTACTGTCAGTAATATCTACTGTGCCATCTGTCACAAAGCAACACAATGGATTTTAGGAGTAGTTCATGACTGGGAGCTCCAATAAATGAAATGTCTCCTTTCTTAGCATGTGCATTTGCACTTGTCCCCAGCAGTAGTTAGCAATTTTTTCCCCCACTGACAATCATTTTCCACATCCATATAGCAACTTGAATTTGACATCTGTCCTCTTTAATATTTAAAGAACTATTCCTCAGGTTCTGTTTTGGATTGGGTGTGTAATTCAGGTTAGTGTAAAGAAAAACATTTGTATAATTCTAACATTCTGTACCACACCCCTTCCCCCCCCAAAAAAAAAACTGAAAAAGTTTAGATAGATAGATAGAGATATATAGATATAGATATATATCTCAAGTTGGTGAAATTAAGGAAAGGTATAGTAACCAAAGGTAACAAGGAAAATACAGTTATAACACTCGGACACATTTGCTACTTTGGGGAGCTCCGAAGCAGCAATTAAACAGTACAAGTAATGCTCTTAAGGGGCACAGGCTGCAGTTCGGTAATACATTCCTTTCTTAATGTGACTTGATGTAGATAGAGTGAGGGCCTATCAGGTGTGAAAAGCCCTGCTGCTCCTGGCTTGGAGTGGCCCCCAGACAGTGATTTGGCGACGTCAATCTAGTCATGCTTGATTTCGACACTTAACGTGGTAAAGCAGGATTTCTCTACCCCTGATCAACTTCTCAATTAGCAAGCTGCCTTGTGTAACGGCCTTGTTTTGCAATCCCTCAGGGCTGCTTCAGGGGTCATTAGGGTGAGAAAACTTGAGTACTAGTTGCAGCTCAAGCAAAGCAAGGAGGAGGTAGGGGTGAGGGGAGAAGGGCAGGAGAAAGGGGTGTGAGAGATTTCGTAAATGCATACAACTCCTTTTGAAGTTGTTTGCTTTCATGGGATTGATTCTTCCTGTATTAAGAAGCTTAAGCATTCAGTATCTTTAAACAGCTTTGGCAGCTGACAGGATTTTTGACTGAGGAGGAAGAGATAACTAGCAGGTTAGTACTTTATTTTACATAGACTAGTCCAGATTTTTTTTTGTCATCCTTTCCAGTGTGTATGATTTCTGTTAAATACATCTGTCATCGTTTTGAGTTTCTGCTACCTCTACTACACTGTTTTTTTATGCATCAGACAAATAGGACATAATTTCATGATTCCCAAATATCCCCTATCCCGCTTTTTCCTACATCTTTTTATTATTCATCTTGAAATGCTTACTACTTTAAATACTCAAATTTTTTATTCTTAATAATATTTAGCATTTGTGAAGTGCTTTAAGGTTTCCAAAGTTCTTTACAGATATATAAATTTATCCTCACAACAACTCTTGGACATAGATACTATTATTATCCTCATTTTACAGATGAAGAAACTGAGGAAGATAAAGCTTAAGGGACTTGCCCAGAGTCACACAACTAGTAAGTGCATGAGTGCCAAATTTGAACTCAAATCTTCCTGATTCTAGGTTCAGTTCTGGAGCCACCTAGCTGTCTGAAAGATTCGGTTACATATAAGAGATAAATGAGACTTTTTTTTTTTTTGGTAAAAGCCTGTTAAATTCAAACTTGGAACATAATTGGTGAAATATTTTTAGATGTTAGATGTAGACCTACAGGGTTATTTCAGACTTTAATCTTTCATGCTCTTATTTCAACTTTGATAAAAAAAAAAAAGGTAACTTAAATTTTTCAGGTGGTTCAGAGGGAAAGATTCCCTCCCCCCTTTTGTGATGCTATCCTGATTAATAGTGACCCACAAATGAACTAAATGCTATTGTAATTTTTGATTCTGAATAAATTAGACATCTTTTTAGACATATAGGAAATATGACTTTCACAATACTTGGTATACCTAGAAAAAAGTGTTTAATAACAAAAAATTCATGAGGCCCTAAATTTACTATTCCAATCAACATTAGTTAAATCATAGTTTTCCTCTTGATTTTTTCCTTTTAGGAACTGGTCAGTATAGTTAGTATTAGAAAATTGTTTATGAACATAGAATGCAGTAAACAGTTTTTAGTTTTATTTTTAAATTGAAGGTTATCTGATTGGTTTATGTTGAAGAATACACATACATGCACCTAGAGATCATTAGATCATCGTAGGGGATATATTTTGTAAGTTAAGAGTTTAAAATATTCATATACACTTTTTTGGATCTATGATTTCATCGATACAGGTATTCTCTCCAGTGATGTCAGTGAATTACATCCCATCAAAATCTGGCCATCCTGTGTGCAAATCTTGTGTATTTTCTTCTAAAATGGTCTGCCGAGAGGGAAGATTTCTGCCTTCTGTGCTGGGGGCTGTCCTCTAGATCTCTTGACAATACAAAAATATTACTGGAACACACAGGCTGCCTATCAGTTATGCCTTGCTGACTATGTGAACAAAACATTTTATCCCCCAGTAATACATCTCTCTGACTTCCTTTACAAGGCTTTCTCACATTCTTCATTTATACTGTGTTGCAGCCTGCTTGGGCTTATCTTAAGCACCTTTCCATTGCCAAATGGCTGCCCCTCAAAGTTAATTTAGTGGTTTTATAATTCAAAGTATGCAGCACCAATGGAAGTATGTTATTAAAAAAAAAAAAAGACCTGGATCATTTCTTTATGGGAAAAAAATACGATTTTCTAAATGCATTGCACATAATCCCCAAGCCAATACAACTTGTTTTTCTGTTAAAATTTGAGTCCAACTCATTGACCATATGTGGTATCTGTCCAAGATACATGCACCAGTGAACTAGCTTTATGGTTTGTCCATCCAAAAGTATTTCATGGTTTGAATCATAGAATTTTTCATCCACTTGGTTTGTCTTGTTTGGCTGCTTAGGGGAAACTATCAAATGTTGATTTATCTCAGTCTGGAGGGTTCTTCAGTGTTCTAGGGCTTATCAACATGGTATCATCTGCAAATGAGAGCAACTGGTTGATGTAACCATCTGTGTAGGGAATGTGTCTTCCATTTGACCTCTGTACTTCATATCTTCTGGTAGAAAATAACTTTGATGAATGTTTTCCTGCTTTATTTCTTGCTTGATGTTAATCATCAGAGGGTCACTGAGCAAAGTTAGGTGTTATGTCAGTAAAGGAATTTTGTATGATTTTGACATAACACATGTCTTTGTTGGAGAAGAAACTTTAAGGCAGTATTTTGTTCTATGGAATTATATGGGTTTTTTTTTCTTTTTAGTAGTTGAGGACCTTTTGATCTGTATATCCTTTGATGAATCGTATGAGTTTTGTTGTAAAGCTCTTTAAAATAGATTTGAATTAACATTTGTCATGCTGGAGCTGAAACAGTTGTTTACCATTTAAGAACCATGACAGAAGTCCATTTACTGTTGATTTCTTCAATTACATTAAGAAAGATATTTGGTAGCTATTTTTTTTGTAATCACCTATAAATATATAGTATTTATAAACACATAAAAGTTACACATTTTAATTTGTCACCATGAACTATTTATCCCATCTTCTATTCATGATAGGTATTTTAAAAATCAGGGTATACAAAACTATTAGTATTAAACAAACATATCCATCTCTAAATGAAAAAAGAAACATTCTAACACATCACATTTTCTGGCATATGTATATTTCATTATATCTTATTTCCTTTCATCCTCAGCTCCTTGTTGCTTTAGGTGCCAGCCACAAAGCCCTTTCATTAGCTTTTCTCTATTTTCAGGACTTATTTTAGCATTACAGTCCTTACAATTCATGTTTGTGAAGCAGTTTTAAAGTTTGCAAAGCACTTCCATTAAAATGTGTGTATCAGTCTTCTGACAAATAAGGCTTTTTGGGATTATGGAGTTCAAATGACTTGCCCAGTTGTGCAGTGTCAGAACTTAGATTTGAACTCAGGTTTTCTGACTGGAAGATCAAGGATCTTTCTTTCCGCTAGTTCATGTTGCCTCTTTAATCTATCAGAAGAGCTATCACCATGCTTCATAAATTTGTCATTCTCTTTTTTGAATCTCTGAATGTTGAACCTGACTTGTGATAGCATTTGCATATGTCGTGAAATGTTACCCCTTTTCTACCTATAGTTTTGAGGAAATAAAACATTCAATTTAATTTTTCTCTCTACCCCTTGAAAAGCCTTCTCTGCGTGCCAGGAGCAATTGTAATAGCTTCTCTAAAGGTTTGGGAAGAGCATAAATAATGTTCTATTGAAAGCAGAATGTTGAAACATCATTATAGCTCTTACCAGCAGCTGGTGGATGAAATTTTGTTCCCCTAAATTGCGCTTGATTCTCTCAGGTTTACCTTTCTCCACATTAGCAGTCAAGAGAAACATATCTAAATCAATCCTTTCTCCTTAGACTCATAGGAGTAAAATATCTGCTGAAAGTTGTGTAGAGGAGCAAAGACTATGTAAGTAATCTTGGGGCTTGGTTCTCCTAGGGTAAAGAGAGAATAAGAAAATTAGAGGCTACTGAAAGAGTCAGAAGGCAGTATGTACTAAGGTTTTTAAATAGCTTAATCGGGGGAAAATGGTATTTAGATAACTAGAGAACACTTTCTGTTCATGGTTGATGTCCTGGATAATTTTACATCTACAGAGTATTTTGTTCCCCTCCAGTCCAGTATAATGCAAGGAGCCTTGAATGTAGCTTCAGACTCTACCCTCCCACTGAAAATACCCATCACTCTAAAGCAACGTCTTTGTACTAAACCACATCCTCCCCATACATATATACACACACATGCTGTTAGCTTTCTTTCTTCCCTTTCATTACCACTACTCTTTAACCTTACCCCTAACTTCTGATCTCAAAACTTTGAGTAAATCCAAAAGTAACTCTTTTTAATTAAAAAAAATACTTATGGGACTCAGGCTTAGGAATATTTATTTACGTATTTTTATTATCTCTACCCTTTTATCTGAATCATGTGATAAAACATGTGGATCATGCCACAAGATAACTACAGAGAACCATAAAATCCCAGGATACATTTTAGTTTCCATGAGGCTACTGTAGGTGGCTCCGTGATTTTGTGACATGATAGAAATTGGAGTCACCAGGTATGAATTCTTGTCTTGGCTCTGACCTTGATTTCCTGTGTGACCTTGGGCAGGTCACTTCTCTATGGTTTCTCTCACCAATAAAATGAGGAGATTTGACCATCCTTTCTTGCTCTAAAATTTCTGTGATTCTTGATCTTAACCAATTGGAACTATTAGGTTACAGGTATCTTAGGGCTTGAAAGGGGATGTATCTATGCTGAACCTGGATTAATTGCTACATTCTGGGAATTCTTTGAAGATCCATGTCCATTTATTTAGAAATGAAGTGAACACTCCCTCTCCAACTATATGCATAAAAATTTTATGGGTGCCCAGCCTATTCATTTGAGTTAATTCTCTGTTCTAAAATAAAAATTATTAATTCAGATAATAGGATACCCTTTATCATGTAAATTAAAAAAACTAATAGTAATTATAACAATAATAATAACTAGTGTTTACATAACTTTGGTTTGCAGAGTGCTTTATACATGTTATCTGATTTGGTCCTCACAGCAAACTTGTGATGTAGGTGCTATATTATTTTATAGATAAGAAAACTGAGACTGAAAAGGTTAAGTAATTTGCCCAGAGTCACACAGCTAGGAAGTGTCTGAGGTCAGATTGAACTCAAGTCTTCCTGACTCCAAGCATAGTGCTATATCTGCTATGTCACCTTACTTCTTACATGTATTCTCATTTGTTCAATGTGGAAACATAGGTTAAAGATACTCTCTCACAGGAGGATACTGTAACTTAATGGAAAAGCCAGCCTTGAATGAATGTGGGTCTTCTGACCCTAATCCATCATTCTATTATACTATGCTAGCTCCCCAACTTCAGCTCTTAGTGTAGATAATTATACATATAATAAAAGATGTATGTGTGTATACATTCATATACATACATATGTGAACATGCATGTGTCTGTACATGTATGCATGTGTGTGTGTGTGTATACACACACGTGAGAGAACGTCAGATTGCTTGCCTATATGCCAAAGAATTTTTTCTTCAGGTTCACATTTGGAAAGCTTATTCTGAGCATGAATAATCACTTAGTGTTAACAGAAGTCTGTTAACTGCTTAATCTTCTAAAAATATTTTAACAAATTTAATTTTGTCAACAATAGCAAAAAAAAAACTTGATTAAAGTATCAAAACATCATTAATTTAGGGGCAATATCACCAGTCTTGAAGTCAGAAAAAACCTAAAGTCACGTAACAGTCCTGCCTCTGACACTTAATAATCATTTAACCTCTCTCTGAGCCTTAATTTCCTCATCCATGAAATGGGGAGAGTAATATCTGTAGTACTTAACTCACTAGTTTATTATCAAATGAGATATTGTTCATAAAGCACTTTTTTGAAGGTTAAAGTACCATATAAATATCAGTTATTATATACAGTATGTTGCCATAATACAAGTCCCAAATAGCAATGGAGCATAACCAAAGCAGGGTCTAATATATTGAATTCTGCTTCCCATATTAATGCAGTAGTGAAATTGGGTGGGGAAGGACCCAAGAGGTTTTTCACAAATAAGGCCTAAAAAATAAAGCTAAGATTAAAAAGGAAACAACAGGGGTAGGGGAAGAGAAACTTTGTGGCCAGTTTCTCTGATAAAGGTCTCATTTTGAAAATAAACACACACACGATTCAAATTTGAATATGTGCCATTATTATTACCCAACTGATAATCTAAGGTTATGGACAGATATTTTTCAAGGGAAGAAACCCAGGCTATCTATAGCTACATGAAAAAAAAATGTTCTAAATCATTACTAATTAGAGAAAAAGATAGATTGAAGCCATTTTGACATTCTCCCTCAAAACCATCAAGGTGGCAAAGATAATAAAGAAAGGAAAATTATGTATGTTAGAGAGATTGTGGGAAAACAGGCACATTATTGTTTTGCTGGTCAACCTGTGAATGGGTATAACCATTCTGGAAACTAATTTGGAATTATACGCAAAATGTTACTTAATCATGTCCTCTGATCCTTATGTACCACTGCTAGAGCTATAGTCAAAAGAGATCAAAGAAGGAGGAAAAGGTCCTATTTGAAGAAAGATGTTTGTCAGCTTTTCTGTGGTGGCAAAAAAGGAAACTTGGAAACTAAAGGGATATCCACCTATTGATTGAAGACTAAGTTATTGCTTATGAATGTAGTGATGAACTGATACAGAATGAAATAATCAAAACAAAAACAGATTATGCAATAATACCAATAAATGATAAAAAAATGAAATAAGCAGAACCAGGAGAACAACTTACATAACGTGTAATAATACCACCATAAAAACAAATGACTTTGAAGGCTATAAGAATTGTGATTAATAGAATTACCATTTAATATTTCAAAGGACTGATGATAAAATATAATATCTACCTGATTATTGATGGATTTCTGGTACAAAGTGAGATACATTTTTGTATATGACCAATAAGGGAATTTGTTTTGCTTGATGACGCATATCTGTTGCAAATAATTTGTTTTCTTTTCTCCTTTTTCAGTGGGATGATAGGAGGTAGGAAGGAGAAAAAATATATTACTTTTCATTAAAAATACTTTTAAAATAGAATGGTGGGGGTGCTACAGATATGGAATGTTGCATGAACTTTCAGATAAGGTTACTATTTTTTTTTAGTTTCGCTTAATTGTTTTACTTTATTACAAGAGACTTCTCATGAAGTGGGTATAATCTATAAACGTTTATAATATAAAAAACAAAATATCAATAAAACTTCTTAAGTAGGTCAGAGAAAAAAGTAATGACAAATGAATATGGAATTACAGAAATCTTTTCCAATGGAGAGAATAGCATTGATGACACGTGGATCCTTTGAAATATAGTAATATGTTAGAAGAATATAAAACAGCATGAGGAATGTAACTATTAAAAATAAGGGTACAGATTGCTTAACTTAGCACCTTTTCCAAAGTAGATGCTCAAAAATTTATTTTCTTTTTTTCTTCCTTTTTATCTTCCCCTTCCTTCTTTTTTCTTTCTTTCTTTCTTCCTTCCTTCTTTCTTTCAATGCTTAAAAAAGCACTGGATTCAAGTCCCAGCACTCATACTATGTGTGAAATTTGGCAAGTTAAAAACTCTGATGCTTTGTTTCCTTATCCATAAAGTGAAGATAATCAGACTTTTTACCTTACAGATCCTTATGAGTTTCAAATGAGGTTCTTATAATTAGTATATAGATTTAAAGTGACTACATGCTTTTCAATACTGATATTTAATCTTGTTTTAAAATTTAAATGACTCAGTGTCCATTCACCAAGATTATCACTTCCCTACTAAATGGGAAGCATTATTCAAGGAGCTAAAGATAGGAAGGTAAACAAACACTGGTTCTGCTTCCAAGGAGGTTTCCGTTTAGTGATGGCAGGCAGAAGGACAAACACATGGATAACTGTGAGTAATGTTTGGAATAACTGTTATGGGGGCTCTGGTAGTCAGCCAACATTGGTAAACATAAATATGTAGTGGACTCAATCACCGTGATTTGGAGGACTACCTGCAGCATCATTCATTAGCTTTGAAATGGGATGGAGAAGGCAGATGGACAGGAAATTGGGTTGAAGGTTAAGTTGTTAATTTCTCAACCTTAGGAAGCACGTGTTCTTGATTATTTAAATATCTTTGTTTACTAGACTTAAATGTAATACTCAAATAGATCTGCAATTTCATCAGTACGGATGTTCCTTTTGATGCTGATCACAACCCTTAACATGCCTGGCTATCCTATGTGAATAGTGACAATGATCTCTTATAAATTTACCATAAGAGGTCTACTAACATGCTGGGGTCATCCTCCCGTTTCCCCTGGTAACATGAGTATACAATTGGAATGAACAGGCTATTTTTCAGTTATTCATCAGTTTTACCATGTGACAAGCTAAGTGCTATAGGCAACAAATAGAAAATATGCATTTATTTAATTTTAGCACTTTATGTTCATGTGATAATTATTACCTTTCATAGAATACGTGCACACACGCACATAACACAGAGCCAATGCCATCACGACATATAGAGACATATCTCAGATTGTAATATAGTTCTAATATGAGAATCTTGATAAAGTAGAAACTTCTTTTAGTCATAATTCTTAAAGGGACCAATAACTCCTGCAGTTGGCTCTCTGGTGTTCATGATTCCAGGTTCAGCACTCAATCTACTTAGCCACCTAACCGCCTGTAGATAAATAATAAACCTGGACCAGAATTGAATAGGAAGATCTTTGACACCCAAAGTCCTCATTTTTTCACACCAATGATGTCCCTAATCATATTCTATGATTAATAGCCATAAACTCAATCTATGAAGAATCAAAATTGTAAAAGGCCTAAAAGGCACTAGAAAGTCACGTGGCAGGA